CGTCCCATTAAAACCCGAATGGACAGTTGAACAAGACTTTCAGATTGATGGTTTATATTATCAAGTATGCATGCAATTGTGTTTATTGGCTTGCGTATTTTTTTTTGCAACTATCAAAAACACGCAATTTTATTCACTGTCAGTTCAGTACGGCTACCACCGTGTATTACAAAAATGATAGAATGAAGGGTATAAAAGGATGTACTTATTATAGCCATTGCTACTCGCTCCTCAAACTTCAAGTTAATAACTGAATCAATATGACAGAGTTGGGAGAGTATCTGGGTGACATTCACGGACTCATCGTTGGTATAAGTTAGCGTTCATTTTTCAGCTTCTGATCTTTTATAATTATTTTTTGAGAGTCATTTTGGTTTTTTAAAGATCGTGAATTGGAGATTGTGCAGAAACTAAAAGATCGCGCTTTAGAGTACGTCTCCCTGTTACTTACTGCCAGTGTTGTCTGTTCCGAACTCGACTGGTGAGATTTTTGTGAGCTATTCTGCTTGACAATTCCTTTCCTCGAAATGCTTGCAACTCATAATTGTGGCGTAAAAGTCTCCTTTCTTTTGCAGAATCCACAAGACGTTATAGGCATTGTTGTCTCTTTTAAGCTTACTATGAATTCATTTGCAATTAAGTTTTTTCTTTTTTTAGGAATCGAATTTTTTAAAAAAATTGGTTCTATCTTATGACTTATCCTTTATAATAGTAAATCTAGAAGTGGTTTCTAGTATTTATTACTGTATTATTGTTGTTGTTGTTTGAATATTATAGTGTTTAAAATTGTTTGTTTTTCAAAAAAATTTAAAAATAAGGATTTTTTTTGGAAAAATGAGAATAAGTAAAAAGAGTTTTTTCTTTTTAAAATAAGAAAATTATGAATAAATTTAAAATAAAAATATAAATCAATTAAATTTATTTAAATAATTTAATTTCATAAATTAAATAGTAAATATATTTAATTTTGAAATATAACTAGGTCATATAATATTATACGATTAAAATGACTAATAAAGATTATTTATTTTTATTTTTTTAAATCAATAATCTTTTGATACAGTACGATAAAATGTAATATGTACGATTCAAAAATTCCAAATTTACTGTGGGGAATCGCGCGAGTTAGTCGATAGAAATATTCTCCCGTTCATTTAATATTTCTGATTAAAGTTGTCACATGTACTAAATTTTGTAACACATAAGAAGCATGCATGTCGGCGTTTTTTTTTTCTTTATTTCGTTATGCATAATGCTTTCACAAATTCCCAAAGTTTCTTGTGTATCAATAGTATACTATAAATACGTATTATACATAATATGTGCTCATTCTTTTGTCTCCTCCGACCTCCAACAAAATTACATAAATGGCAGAAGAATTTGCCGAATTCGCTTTTATTGAATCATGCAACCTTATACCAATAATTGGACCTTTAGTAGCTGGTATCGCTCAACGTATCATTGACCGCGCAAAGAAGGCCCGTCATAATCCAAAAGCATGCGAATATATTTCTACTCACGTGCAAGAAAATTTAAAGATCATTTCTAAGGCTAAAGTTCCATTGCAAAATGATAAATCTGTTGAGAAATTAAAAGAAGTGTTGGGGGAAATAGAACGATATATAAATGAGATCGACAAGCCTGGAGAATTTAACGAAAGATTTAAAAATTGGTTCAAGCAGATGGCGAAGGCTGAAAATGTATGATATGGAATGTGACTTTCTTAAGGAATCCATTTATTTTTCATATTAGAAATCAATTAATTTATCCTTTATTTAAGATCGAGGATGCGAATGAAATTTTACTTGGAAAACTGACAGACGCTACCAAAGATTTTCAGTTTACTATGGCTGTTGATACTAATAATGTGGTCACTGATATAAATCATCAAGTTAAAGAAGGTTTCACTAACATGGGAGAAGATTTATGCGAAATGAACAACCGTCTTGCTAATATGGAAGAAGGTATAGCTGCAGTGCAAATCATGATTACACAGAAAGGAAACAGCGTCACAGACAAGGATATCGACTATTTAAAAGTTGAACCGTACTGCATCGAGAGCGAAAAAAAACCCGAAAGAAGAATGGATATTGAGAAAAAATTATACACTACAAAAATCCCTGTTGCAGTGAAAAAACTACCCAATCTACCTGATCACGATATTAATAAGCAACTAAGGAATATTGCAAAACAAGCAAAGATTATTAGGTTACTTAGCGCCTGCGACCATATCGAAAAATTGTAAGTATTCTTCTGTATAGTTAATTATTTTGCTTATAATTTCTTTTATTCGCTGTTAACTGGAATTTATTTGATGCATTTATTAGTTTTGGTGTTTATGAAGATGAAGTTAATGGAATAAAGCATCTCTTTGTAGTTACTAAATGGATGGAAAATGGAAATCTACGAGAATATTTAATAAAAAATAAACAGTTTGATTGGTCAAATAAACTTAGGATTGCACAACAAATTGCTGCGGGTCTTGAATTTTGCAACTCTGTCAATGTTTATCATCGAGATGTCAAAAGGTATTCTTATTGGTATTGTTTTTTTACTAGTTATTTTAGTTAAAAAGTCAAAATAATTTTTTTTTAAAATATTTAGCAAAAACATATTACTCAGCGAGCATTTAAATGCAAAGCTTACCAATTTCGAGCTGAGTCGAAAGGTTGGAGATAAATCGAAAGAAATGCCTCTTGAATCTTCAAGGTCATTATTTTTTTTTAAAAAAAAATTCGAGAGTATATTAAAAAATATATATTTCGATATTTTAATCAATCAAGTTTTGAAAATGTTCAGATGGACTGCACCAGAAAAGCTCAAATATCCAGAGCAAGAATATACCGATAAATGTGAAGTATACAGGTGCAGTATAATAAAGAGGGATAAAAATGCATGTAATATGCTTAAGAAGACTAATAAAATTTAGTATAATTTTAGTTTTGCAGTTCTTCTCTGGGAAATTTCGACGCACCGAATTCCATTTGACTATATAGATAACCCACTAAAAGCTGGCGAGAAAATTAAAAATAATGAACGTCCCGAACCTTTTTCAAAAGGTACACCAGAACAATACCAGGACATAGTTAAAGAGGCTTGGGATGGCAACCCTAGGAAACGTCCGAAAATAGGTGATGTGCGAAAGAAGCTTGAAAAGGTGAATCTGACGGGGAGAAAGAAGGACAAACCAGTCAGGAGAGAAACTTGGTTATCTACTGAAACTGAATCTGTAACTGCATTGGATGATTCGGATGATCAGCTGCTGGACATTAAAGAAATTATATCGCTCCATGAAAAGGAACAATACGAGAAAGCCTTCGGTCATTTCCTGAAGTTGGCAGATAGGAATGATCCGTTAGCCTCATATTATGCGGGTCTTTATCTCTTTAAAGGAACTTACGGCGTTGAAGAAGATGAAATTCAAGCCCTACAGTTATTAAAAAAATCAGCTAAAGGTGGATGTGTACAAGGTCAGTACTTGTACTCTTATGCTTGTCTAAAGGGGACCTATTATTCCAAGGACGAAGGTATAAGAAATCTCAGACTAGCCTGCCGAAAAAATTATCCTGATGCTTTGTATATGGTTTCCGAGTTTTTTTTAAATGGAGAGCATGGTATTGACGTAAATGAAAAGAAATATATGGAATATTTAACAAAGGCAGCTGCATTAGAGTCTCCCGATGCCTTATACGCGGTTTCGCAATTATATTTGAAGGGTGAATCTGGCTATCCTGTTGACAATGATAAATATAACGAATACTTAACGAAGGCTGCAGACAAGGGGTCAAATAAGGCGTTGAAAGAACTTGAAGAAATTGGATTTTAAAGAATCTGATCAGGAAATATTCGTGGGAAAAAAAGATTGGTGAATTATTTGATTACTTGTGATAAGATATACAGCGTCCGCCAAAAAAGACGCAACACCTGTTCACTGATCGTTAATCATTTAAATTTGATCAGATCATGGCGAAATTATACAGTGTAACCTGATCTAATTAATTTATAATGTATCAGAGATTTAAATAAAAAATTTTTAAATTAATGCAAATTTACTGTTGCACAATTTTGTTATTTTTTAAAAAAATTATGACGCAAAAAAATTTTTAAATTTTTTTTATAAACTAATGTCTTCAATTTAGTTATCTATAGAGAAAAGGTACAAGGTTATTATCTTGTTAAAAGAAGGTTATGTTTAAATCAAGTTGCTGTCAAAATTGGTGGCAATCTTCATTATTTCACCATATCTAAACTTAAAAAAAATATCAAGAAACAAACAAATCAGAAAATAAATATATTTTTGATCTTTTACCTAAACTTATCCCATATAAAGAACATATTATTATTAGAAAATTAATAAATGAAAAATTCAAAATAGTTACAGATATGTAGGATTTAGGTCCTTAAAAAATATGAAAAATAAATATCAATATTAAAACAATTCAAAGAATTCTTAAGAAATATAGATTTAAAGCACATACATGGTAAAAGAAATCTTTTTTGAGTAAGAAAAATAAAAAAAATCTTGTTTGAATTTGCAAAAAAAAATATAGAAATTGGATTATAAAAGATTGAAGTATAATAGATTGATTTAATAAAATTAAAATTTAATTTTTTGAAATTTAAAAATAAATTTATTTTTGAAAAAAATCTAAAGAATCTTTAAAAAATTATTATATAATCTTTATAATTAAATTTGATAAAATAGTATTAATTTTTGGAGATATTTTATCTATTTCAATATAAGTATTTGTCTATAATTGAAAAAATCTTAATAATAATCTCTATATATAAATTTTGAAAAGATATTATATTTTAATATGATAATAATTCAAAATATAAAGTAAAGATAGTTTAAGAAAAAAGATAAAAGCAAAAAAAACAAATTTAATTTTTTAGCTATTACAATCTTCAAACTTAAATTTAATAAAAATTATTTAAAATAATATAAAAAGAAAAATTAATAAATTAAAATTAATATTAAGAATAAAAAAACTCTCTAGAATAATTTATTAAAGATTTGAAATCAAATATTTAAAAAAGTTTATAAAAAATATATAAAAACAATATTCATAAAAATTAATAATATTATTAGAACAAAATATAATTTTATAAAATAATAATAAAATTTTTATATATTTGTATAATAATTTTTTTAAAAATAAATAAATAAAATTTTTTTAAAAAAAGTAGTCAAAAATTATATACAATAAATTTTTGAATAAATATTTTTTATTAATAATTTTATTAATTTATTATATAGGTAATTATTTTTGAAGATAAACAAAAAAAATTTTGGATCTAAAATTGTAATTCCAAAATTATATTTTATAAATATAATTTAAAATTATAAAATTTTATATTTATTAATTTTATTAATTATAAATTTATTAAAAAATTTTAAAAATTTTAAAAAATATATATTAACCATCAAATAGATTATAGAAATATAAATTAAATATAAAGTAGAACTTGCATGGAAAGAAAATAACCAGATCCAAAACTATAATAACTATCCCCTATACTTTAGATTCTACTTTATATTATTATATTATATTTCCATAGAAATAAAAAAATTAGGTATATTTTCTACTCTAATAAGTAGTCTTTATCTATTTTTATTTTTCATTATTTTTGAAATATTACTATTATTATTAATATTTTTATTTAAAGGTGCATATTTTGTTTTTCTTTTATTTTTTATAATTTTTATTTTAAATATGATTTTTTTATAATCTATTTTATTAAAAATACTAAGAATAGAAGCATATAATTTTTCATTAATTTTTAAAAATGATAAATATAAATAAAAATTATTTATTATTAATTTATGAATATATTTTATGGCTTTATTTGAAAATAAATATTAAAAGAAATATTATTATAAAATTGTGCTTTTATTTTAAATCAATTAATTAATTCTTCAATTGTATAAATATTTTATACTACTTTACCTTCAGCAAACCATTTTGATAGTATTCCAAAATAACTATCAACAATATTTTTGCCATGATATTCAACAAAATAGTTGAATAAAAATTTTTTATTATAAATACAAGATAAATAATTAAAAATAAAATGCATTAATTCAGAAGAATAAAAATAAGGTCCTGAATTAGACCAAAAATAGATTTTTAAAATTGTAATATAAATGAATTAGAAAGAAGTTTTTTAATACAATTAGTCACAAATAATGAATCATAATTTTAAATTTTAAAAAAATAATCAAAATATTGAGTTTGAGTTATATTATTTTTATTTTTAAGACCTGTGAGTCTATAGTGCAGTGGGTGCACTCCCAGGTCACCATTCGCGAGTTACTGGTTCAATCTCACCTAGGAACAGTTACTGCAATATATAGGTTATGTTGTACAAGATACATGCTTATCACTACATATACCTTTGTACTCACAAATAACCTATAGATTTCCACCGTCCAATCACGGTATAAAAACTCAGGTCATCCAAGCCTTGCCAGTTTTAGTACTAAGAAAATCCTTGATAAACCTGTCACCTGAAATATGTAAGGATCCAAGACAAGCCGGGAAAAATGCCAATCAGTTCAAGCCTCTTAACGGAAATGGAAAGGACATCCACCTCTTGTCAAAAATATATCCTATAGAAGATAAGGAAGACTTCGGTCATTTGCACCAGTCGAAAATATAATGGGCTGTAACACAATTAATATGAGATCTCAATGGATCGCAAAACCAACGGCTACCAAAGAGGACAGCTATTGCGAAGGCTGGTGATTAGCATTAGTGTCATGTTAGGAAACCTATAGAGGCAGACCCGGGAAGAAGAAATTCGAAAACAATCATCAAGGTAACCAATTCACATGGAAGGAGTAATCCACTATGAAGTAACCAAGAAATACCTCTATAAGGCCAACTTGCAAAAGTGGTTAAAAATGAGGCAATGGAAGGCTATATGCCACCCAATGATGTAATACTATTGAATCACCTGAATGTCAAGAATATGACCGAAGAACTGTGCTATCTAAATTTCAACTAAGCCTGCGGAGGACCAAAACATGATAGGGATGATCATTGGCATCCATGACCATCAAGTGAAACACAACCCACTAAAAAAAGAAAACACAAGTTACTAGCCCCCTGAAGAGTAACATTAAAAATGGAAGTCCATAGCAGATCCTCGGAATGCTAGAGTCCCGGGCAGAGCAGGGCAACTGACAAAAATAATATCATTATATGGTAAAATTCGCGAATTTGTTAGGATAGGCAGTCTCAAAGGTTATATGAATTGCTCATATAATCTAATTCTACTGAATACTAATAAAAGTTTCGTCCTGTCAGTTGAACTTTAAAAAAAAAAAAAAAAAAAAAAAAAATTATTTTTATAAAAAATAATAAATCCTAAAAGTATATTTGTGTTTTTTTATAAAATTTTTTTTCTGTTTCAAATGGATTACTGCCAATTTTAAAATTTTCTTTAAAATTCATAATAACAACATATAATATAGATATTGTTAATTAAAAGAATTTTTATATAACTCTTTTGTTGAGTTTTAAATAAAGATGTTTTTTATAAAAATCAATTTCAGTTTATAATTGATTAATAATAGAATCAATACAAGACCACTGCCAAGTTTATAACCGATCATCAAAAAAATAAAAAAATACAGCAGCTAATAATTAATCCTTAAAGTATTTAACACATAAAATTTCACAAATCACTTATGTTCCTTTTTGAGAAACAAAATTCATAACTCTTCACTTTAATAAAGACGAAGGTTAGGAAATGCTATAAATCAATGATTTAGATAATAAAGAACAATTATGAATAGTTTTTTTATAGTTATTAATTTAAAAATTTTAATATTTCCTAGTAAAAGACATTTGACTTTTGTCCCTGTCTCACTCTTTAGGGATCTATCTTTAACAATAACATATAGAAAGATGGAATAATGGCTCCTAAATAACAAGAAGTCAATGATAAATAGTATACTAGAAAAGTCCAATAGATCTATAGTAACAAACAAGCTAATAATTGAAAGAGAAGACCAGATAAAGAAGATTACTGAACTAAAGAAGATTAAAAATGAAATACCAAAACACTTTAAAGCCTAGATACAATATAGGGAGACTATACCAGTGAAAATCTTAGCCAGATAGTCAAAACAATATGCACTTAACAGCAGAATCCAAGAACTTTGGTTCAAGAACTTGTTGAAACAAGTAATCACACAGAAGCTACAAAGATCAATCAGGGACAGAATTTACAAATATGTATTAGGACCTGATAATATTTCATATAATAAATAGAACCAAAAACAATTATACGACTTATAAACCTATGCAATAGCATTCTGTTACAAGGAGAGATAATACGAAAATAGAGTACAGACACATATATCCCATTCTTAAACTCAAGAACTGGTAGAATAGGATTGAAATAACTAGAGCTATTATACTACTTATCCCAGGAAGAAAAATATTTACAAAAATCCTTAGTGACCACCTTGTATGCTACTGCATAGAACACAATATCCTCAATAAACTAAACTGGGCAGACCTTTCAGGTAGTAGCACACAAGCCTCAATACACATAATAAACCTATATATAGAATATGCACAAAAAGAGAAAAAGAAGCTATGAATCCTTAGTTAAGATATAGAAAAGGCCTATGACTTAATCAATAAAAAGATATTAGTAAAAGCAGTAAAACAAATAAGCCATCACAAAAAGCAATTAGTATCATATAAGCCCTACTTAGAGACAGAAGGAACAAAGTTATAATAGCATATAGGCTTGTCCTTAATATAAGGTACTGGATAGTATCAATCAAGGAGACAATTTCAATAATTC